CCTTCCTTCCTGCCTTCCTGCCTGCCTTCCTTCCTGCCTTCCTGCCTGCCTTCCTGCCTGCCTTCCTTCCTGCCTTCCTGCCTTCCTGCCTTCCTGCCTTCCTGCCTTCCTGCCTTCCTTCCTGCCTGCCTTCCTGCCTGCCTTCCTGCCTGCCTGCCTGCCTTCCTTCCTTCCTTCCTGCCTTCCTGCCTCCTTCCTTCCTTCCTGCCTTCCTGCCTGCCTTCCTTCCTGCCTTCCTTCCTGCCTTCCTGCCTGCCTTCCTTCCTGCCTTCCTGCCTTCCTGCCTTCCTTCCTTCCTGCCTTCCTGCCTTCCTTCCTTCCTGCCTTCCTTCCTGCCTTCCTTCCTGCCTTCCTTCCTTCCTGCCTGCCTGCCTTCCTGCCTGCCTTCCTGCCTTCCTGCCTTCCTGCCTGCCTTCCTGCCTGCCTACCTTCCTGCCTGCCTTCCTGCCTGCCTGCCTTCCTTCCTGCCTTCCTGCCTTCCTTCCTGCCTTCCTTCCTGCCTGTCTTCCTGCCTGTCTTCCTGCCTTCCTGCCTTCCTGCCTGCCTGCCTTCCTGCCTTCCTCCCTTCCTCCCTTCCTCCTTCTCCCCTCTCCCTTTTTTTGCAAAAAGATCATTTAGTGTAATTTCAAAATCACAGTAAATTACTCTTAGGCATGTGGTATGACTTCTAGATGGCAAGTGGCATAAGGCCAAAAGGAAACACCCAAAACAAGCTCTTGTTAGGTCAGTACAGACTGTGTCATGTTGTATCACCTAAGCACTGGGTGACCTCATTACTGGCAGCAATAAAACACATTTCTGTAAATGATCCTAACCTTTCACTTAGTGTGAGACTAGCTAAAAATACTGACACTTTGGGTGGTAGTGCAGGTCCAAGCAGGACGTGACAAACTTTGTTGAGACTATGGAGTAAAAGATGAGTCATTGAATGGGATTATCAGCCCAAATTTAAATGAAATTCACAGTTCAGAATAAAATTATTCTAATAAAATAAGAGAGTCACTCAAATTGAAATAAAAAATGTCAGTGTTTCCAAAAGGTTTGACTTTGAAAATGCTAGATTTTTTTTTATTTTTCAAAATCTTCTGGTTTTTTCTTTTTTTACTCCCTTGTGGGTTTGTATTTTTGTTTGGCTGTTGGGGTTTTCTTAACTACAGATTACTTTCATAGATAATGCAAGTCCTCCTGCAAATCCATTTTTTCTGAATTAAGACTCACCACTCTGTATATATATTCATTGTCATAGAGAAGACTCAGTGAAACATCAAGAAGGTGGTGCTTTGTTTTAGAAGCAGAGGTTTCTCTGTGCCAAATGTTAAGCTGGAGTCTGTATTGTCTGGCTGGTCTTTACAGGTGAGGATTGAGTTAGAAGATATTTACACAGACTTGAAGGATGGCATCTCTCTCATGAAACTCCTGGAGCTGCTCTCCGGAGAAGCTTTGCCCAAACCAAGCCGGGGAAGGATGAGAGTGCATTTTCTAGAGAACAACAGCAAAGCCATCACATTTCTGAAATCCAAGGTAAGTTAACACTGATATTAGAGATCACAATAGTTTATATATGTTATTAATTAATTATAGCATCATGTTCATTGTATTTTCCCCCTCTAATATGCAATACTATATCCTCTGAAGACAGGCCAAGGATTTTATTAAAAGAAAAAAATTCATCAAATTTTAATTTATTTTTTATTTGAGTAATATGTTTTAGAAATAGCTAATATTCCTCTCTTTTGGAGGAAAGAAATGTGTTTCTTGCCTCTCCCTAACCACCATATTTCAAAAAGTATATATTGGACCACTATCCTTTTGCCAGGCTTTTGCTGAAACTCGTCATGAGCTGATATAGGAGCTTGCAGGTCTGTGGACCAGTGAAAAGATGTAGACATTAAACCTTTTTGCTTAAGAAAATGGCCTGAACACACTCTCCACTAACAGTTTGTTACACTGAGAGCTGGACACAAGAACTTTTATGCTGAACAGATACTGGTTTATTAGCAGGTACAAGTAAAAGTGATTGGTCCTGAGAATATCGTAGATGGTGACAGAACCTTAATCCTGGGCCTTATCTGGATCATCATACTTCGATTTCAGATTTCATCTATCAAACTTGATAAGGTAAAACTGTATCTTTGTCTTTTTGCTTATGCAACTGAATTCATGTTGGTTTTGGGTTTTTTTTTTTCAAAGAGACAAAACAGTGACTTGGAGATAGAAAGAACATTCATGTTCTTCACTCTCTCCTACAATTTTTTACGTACTTTTGACTTCATGTAGAATTTCTCTGTCAGCACTTCTGTCTTGATTTGAGTCCCATGATGCTGCTTTGCTCTTTCTCTGAAGAAGCACATGATTTTTAAAATTATTTAACATATACTCTAAGAACATGAAAAACATCAAAGTCAACAATTTCTAAAAGTAGACCTGAATACATCACATTTTGTTTCTGAGTTCTATTTGACATCTAAGGAAGCAAATAAACTGAACTTTCCTTTCTGCCTGATTTCTACAGATATTACAGAAGAGAAATGTTTTAAAAATTTCAGCACCTGCATTTTACTGTGTAGTTTCTGCATTCATTCAATTTACTTTGTTTTTTAATAGAAAAATTCTCTTTTCATGTTAAATTTTTCTACCTTTATGGCAGTTACAGTCTGCAAGTCATGACTTTGAGGGGATCTGTGAATTGAACAAAAGTAACACAAAGTGATCTTTAGGAACATAAGTATAAACCTCTCTTCACAGGAAGAATTTGGAGGCAGAGCTGATGTTCTATTTGCCAATGAAGCCTTATTACTCTGGTGTCAGCATAAAACTGCCAGCTATTCCAATGTGAGTGTGAAAGACTTCTCCAAAAGTTGGAGTGATGGGCTGGCCTTCAATGCACTCATACATGCTCACAGGTAAGATTTGATGGATCAGTTCAGGCAGAGTGGTTCACTGCTGTTTCCAGCTCTGACAGGAGTTGTTACAGGGTCTGAATTGCAAGTTTTTGTCAAGAAACTGTCAGATACTCTCTGTCCTTTCTCACTGAAGACTCTTCTTTCTTAAATGGATATTTTCTCTTTCCTTCTTTGAAGGAAGGACCAAAAGGTTCTGCTTCATAGCAGCTTTAGTTGGCTATAGCATTGAATTTCCAGGGGAATATCACGTATCTGAACAATACTGCCCATTTGGTCTTAGCCCCTGAGACATGTTCCCATTGCCCTTTTTCTAAAATAATTCTTTTAGGCACTGGTTTTATTGAATGAACTTTGTGAGCATGTGTATCTTCTGGTTCAGTTGTAATAGAGTAAGCAACTTCTCAGTCTCTTTCTTTCTCCCTTCTCTGTCCCTTTGAAAAACTGTAAAGAAAACACCCAAAAGTTATTTTGGAGCTCTATTGGAGAGGAACCACCTCTGGTAACCCTGAACACTTCTTTGTCCTCAACAGTTCTGCTGTTTCTTACACAGGATACTTTAGTGGGACTTTGGAGCTTTCCCAGCTGGGAGTCACCTCCCTTTTCACAAGTGTCTCTCTACTGGGCTTTGGTTTTCACCCATTGGGGAAGAGAAGTAAGGGCAGATATTTGCTAGGAGAGGCAATTCAGTTTCATAGAAGACAATTTTCTTCCTGCTATGGAGGCAAGGGGCATGCTCTTGAATGAAGTTCAGGGTCAAAGGAATTTCAGTGTTAATGCCACATAAAATAAGCAGTTTCGTGACTATTAACTTGGTCTCATGAACAGTTTATGATTTATGATCTGAAAAGACTTACTACAAATATAAATCTTTCTTCATCTCCATGCCCTCTTCTTCTCCTTGCCCAGGCCTGATCTTATCCACTACAGCTCACTGCGGCAGGACCAGCCCATTAAAAACCTGAACAATGCCTTTGATGTTGCTGAGAAAGAGTTTGGAATCAGCAAACTGCTTGATGCTGAGGATGTGGCAGTGCCCTATCCGGATGAGAGATCCATCATGACTTATGTGTCACTCTATTACCACTACTTCTCCAGACTGAAACAAGGCCAAACAATACAAAAGAGACTTAACAAAGTAAGTCCATTGCTCTCAATTATCTCTCAAAAATCAATCCTTTTTTGACCTCATAGTTTCTGTTTGAGAACTGATATGGTGCCAAGGCAGCTTGAGGCATGGAGATCTCAATAATATTGGGAGATGATTAAGACTAGGCAAAACCAGACCTAGTAACAATCTCATTTAATAGGAATGTTGACCCCTTATTCCATGGAACTACACTGGATTTTGATTTCCTGTGAAAATCCTCATCCTTTCTTTCTAACTCCTTAGGCAGAAAATGAAAAATAAGCCCAAACAAATGAAACAAAATGAAAACAACTTAATACCAACAACAACAAATAAAACTGAATGATAGCTAAACTGGCTAATTTTACGTTTTTTTAATTACATTTTTATTACTTTTTAATTAAATTTAGCTAAGTTTTTTTTTTCTGTTACACTTCACATAAAATCATAAGCTGTATTAAAAATGTCTTGTATCTCACTGATGGAAAACTAAAGGAATTTTGTAGTTGTTCCACCAAAGACCAGATCCCTTGAGAAAATTTCTCAAGAACAAGAAACAAGAACTGAGAAATCTGTTCTTGTTTTGACAAAACTCCAAAAGAAATAGCCTGCAGAAAACCTGCACATCCAGGATGGGTTCTACATGAACATCTGGATTCGTAGGTCTGCCTGTGCAGTTGAGAGGGGGAATACATTGTTTAATGGGAGGCATTAAAAATCCAGACTGAGGCTTCTCTGGTGGTGACAAGGTGAAAAGGTTTTGCAAAGCAGATTTTGGTCAGCTAAAAATGTGGTCTGGGGCAAAGATCGATGATCCTGTAACACGGCTGCCCACAGCACCAAGCCTGTTATGTGGAAGGAGTGTCTGGAGGATGCTCTTTGTCAGAGGACCCAATGTTAGGTAGTCCTGTAAGGAGCAGGGAGTTGGACTCGATGGTCCTTATGAGACCCTTCCAACCCAAAATACTCTAGGATTCTATGTCTTGGAACAGCATGTTCTCCACAGCATTAGATGAGAGCAGGACTTGGAATGCTGTCACAAAGTTTGGCATCAGTGAGGAGAGTGGGCAGTAGGCACAGCTTTTCGTATGGGTCACTGGATTTTGGCCAGGAGACATTTTCTTTCGATAAACATGAAATAGTCCTTGAGTCCACAAGCGTGTATTAGAGGAACTGTAAGGAGCAAATAGGCCATAAATTTTGTATTATATGAATAAAGAGTTTGTTTACTCTGTCCTTTTTCAGTTGTCATTGTGCTCCACTGCTTTTTCCATTTTTTTCATAGTTATATTTATTCTTTCTTTTCTCTCTCTCCTCTTCCCTGCATCTTTTTTCTCCCTTCGACTACTTCCCTATTTTTAGCCTGTCTCTAATATTGCATTCCTGTCTTCCTGCATTTCTGACACACACAAACACTCATGAGAAGAAGGAAACAGATGTTAATCTCTTCATGTCCTTAGTCCCCTCAAATAGGCAGCCCTGAATTTACTAATAGGATTGGGAGGGAAGCCTGAATATGCCAAGGAAACCTTTGTGTTCAGACTAACTCTGTGACCAGGATGGCAGAGAGAAACAGCTTAGGGAGGCAAATCTCCTTTCCCTCTTCCATCTGAGGTGACCATGCATTTATAGGATCTTTCAGCAAGAACTGGGTATGATGGCAGAAAATACAGAAGGGAGCCCTGATGTCATGGGCTGCTTTTCCTGCACTAAAGGTTGGTGCTATTTTACTCCTCTTACAAGACTGCAGCACTTAGTCACTGCCAGGTGCACTTTCTGGTAGGCAGAAGCTGATGACCACTTGGAAGGACTGGGTCTTTTCTCAGTGCCATCTCCCTCACTAATCTGCCTGGCTGGGGCAGGCAGACTCAGCAGAATGACAGAGGAAGAACATTGTTCAGTGCTGAACCTGACATTTGCAGGAGTAAAGATCTGCATCTTTACTAAGTCAGGGTGTGGAAAAAATATCATGAAATAAAAAGACAAAGATGGAAAAGAATGTAAGGTGGAAGGAAAGGATGATTTATTCCTACACCTTTTATTTCATTAGGGATTTAGTTCTGGATGTTTGCTCTAGTATTTACCTGTACTTTAAGTGAAGGCAGATCAGGCCACAGGTGAAACAGATAAATGTTTCAGTCTGTAAACAGACTTGAAAAGTTAGTATTGAATCAGAATTAACATCCTTACCAAAGCTCTGTTTGTACATGAAACATTTTCTAGTAATTTTTGTAAAGGAAAACTGTTCTAACACAAGAGATTGAGAAGGAGCTGTTTGACCATGGTCTGCAGTGTGCATGTGCAGGATCTTGTCAGATGATCTCCTAAGATTCTAAGTGGTGAAGCTAAGAGGGTGTAATTACGTATTAGGATAGAATTGTTTAGGCTTGAGGAATGAGACTGGGAAAATAAAATATGAGGTTTTTTTGATTGTGAAACAAAAAATGTGAACCATGCTGTTTACTCCCAAATGTTCTCTTAAATAAAAACTGAAATGAAACGTTAAATAATATCAATTTATCTGTGTTTTATGGAAGGCTGTTCTAGGATTTCACCTAGCCTCAGATGTGACAGCTATCACCACATCAGTATAAAGATGTGAAGACTGCTGAAGACGCTGCTTTCTGTTCATTCACCTTGCTTCATTCTGATTCTTATGGGGCTTGTAACTTTATATCTTTATATTCCCACCACAGATTGTGTTCTTCCTGAAGGAGATAGATGACTTGAAGCTTCAGTATGAGCAGATGGTCTCTGACCTCCTGAAATGGATTAAACAGAAGGTGATGGAGCTGGATGACCGTCATTTCCCAAACTCTCTTCAGGAAATGTGGCTGCTCATGGCCAACTTTAAAACCTTCCGCACTGTGGAGAAACCCCCCAAATACCAAGAGAAGGGCATGATTGAAGCTCATCTCTTCAACATCAGGACCAAACAGAGAGCCAACAACCAACGGCCATACTTGCCTCCGGAAGGGAAGATGCTGCAGGATGTGGAAAAGCACTGGATCATCCTGGAAAAGTCAGAGCACAACCGGGGAAAAGCACTGCAAACAGAGATGCTGAGGCTAGAAAGGCTGGAACAGCTAGCCCAGAGGTTCCTGAAGAAGGCAGCCCTGCGTGAGTCCTACTTGGAAGACATGAAGAAAGTGATTGGCAAGCAGGACTTCTGGCCAGAGAGCGTGGACAGGATGGAGGCTGCCAGTAGGAAGCTGGAAGCCATTGTGGCGGATGTACTGCCCAGGAGGGAACGCTTCGCAGCCCTGGACGAGATGGCCACCGTTATCAGCCAGGAGAACTATCACGGCAAAGACCGAGTCTTGCTGAAGTGAGTGATGGCTGAGAGACTGTGCAGCAGCAGAGGTCAAAATTAGTTGAAAATCTGGGGTGTGGTGGAAGAAAACTAATTGTAACTGTGACTCTTGTCTCTGCTCCTCATGAGTAGAACTGTCAGGAATTTCTTCTGCCTGTTTCAGCAGATAAGGCAAACACTTCATCTTCTTCAAAATTCTATTTTTTTTCCTTTGATGATCAAAGCCTCAGACCAATTATGGGTGAAAAATACTTCTAAGATATTTTTGTTATATATGAAAATATACCCACAAATTTTTACCAAATCTTCTATCTGCCATCAAAAAATGCTTGGAGAGATACTATTTTTTTTTTCACCAGTCGACACATTTCTATATTAGTCTGCAGTCTGGGGAGATGCAAATCGGTTAAGGCATGGTATTGTCAGATTTACTCGATTTTGGAGCAAATACTGAGAAATTATAAATACTCTGATTATCCCAGGTTATTATATAACTTGATTTGTGAGTATCTAAGAATGCCGTACAAATAACTTCTCTTGTGGTATTCTATTGCTTTTCTAAATTCAGACAAAATCAAGACCCTCTGTGAAAACCCAGAAAACCAGTTATAAAAGAGTAAATCAAACTATGAGATCAGATTGTGACTTATGATATAGTTTATATTAATGTTTTATTTTAAGCAGCTGTTTAAAGAACATTTCTTTGCTTCCAGGCCTTTCTACAGTATCAAGCACTGTAGGAAAAAAAAAATAAAAAAAAAATAGAGGGGTGTTTTATAGACAACCTTAAAAATTATGTCTAAATTTTAAAAAGTCAATGACAGTTGATGTACTAGTCAAAATTCTTGTAATAACATTTTTTTGACCTGCTTTATGTTCCTGGCCTGTCCTCTTACACTGATGTCAAGAGTGGTGTGTGCTCATTTAGCTCCTCTAAAGCTGCCAGCACTGAGATTCCTCCAGTGCTGCCCAAAGGCTTTGGTGCAAACTGGTAATTTCTTTCTCTTCCTTTGTAGGCAAAAGAGCATTTCAAAGCAATGGCAGGATCTCCTGGATCAGCTGCAGAGACGAGAACAATCCCTGGGAACAATGCAGGAAATTCTGGGCCTCCTGAGGGACATAGATGCCATTACAGAGGAGCTGAAAGAGCTGCAGGTACTGAGCCCTCTCCAGCAGCACACAGCTTGCAGTGCTGCCAGTGTCCCCATGTTCCAGAGACTGGCTGGTGCCAACAGGAGATAAGTCTATCAGCTATAGAAAAAAACACAATTTTTACCTAGATGCCTAACTGAGCATTTCAGATCATCATAACAGGTAACTACATGAGGAGAAAAAAACCCAGGCTTTGCTATAGGGGTTTTCCCTAATCAGAAAGCCTGTATTCTATTACATGGAATGCACTACAAGTTCAAGTTATATAGTAAAATAAAGATGGGAAATAATTTTCTAAATTTACAAGTGCAAAAGTAAAAGTGGAATAAAAACACCTCCTGTTTCCATTCCATGTAATTCTTCTGAACTAGCTTCTGGAAATACCTGCAGTAATTTTACAGATGGGAATTAGCTCAGGCTTTCAGGTATACAAACTCATGAGAAAGGGAAGTTCCACTGTAAATGAAGAGTGATTGCTTTTAGAAAGAATTTCCAGCTGTTACCAGAGTGTCAGAGCACATAGTCTCCTTTTCAGCATGAGAAGTAACTGGGTTCATACTGATTTTGTAATGGAAGGAATTACATATATGTCTTTTGCCTTTCTGAAGACAGAAAAATCCTTATGACTACAGGTTGTGCCCAAGCTGAAAGAGTCAGCATGCTATATGAAGTTGTAAATGTCTAATTAAAGATAAGACCTATCTCTAAGTTATAAATATTTCTGTCCTAGTGTTGGTAGGCAAAGAACACCTAATGGTAATTGTGTCATTGGAACAACGATAGCCTGAGAATATGGGAAAAGATTGGTAAGGAAAGATGGTACCCTAGGATTAATAATTGTATGCATTGACACAATTAGAAAGAATACAGACTGATAAACACTCCTCACCAATTAGTGAATTATGTATTACAAAATACTTATTTTTGTTATTTAGATAGAAAGTAAACTCATCAAATGAAAAGAACATTCCAGTTAGAACATACCAAAAAATGGAATATTGTGGAATTCTTCAAATACAGACTGAATCAATCTGCCTACAGATGGGTCTATAGCAAAGGGATATTTATTGCACCCACAAATTCTGAGACCTTGAGTGCTTAATCAGAAGAAATATCTTAGGTGCAAAAACAGATGTTTATTTGATGAGCCCGTTACTTGCACTGCAACCAATAGAAAGTCTGGATTGTTGCCATTAGCTTGTGGAATTGACCCCAAAAAAGTGTAATTTCTCTAAATAGGCAGCTTTTTTGCTTTACTTAGCTGACATTCTTGGACATTTAGAAGATATAAGAGATGACAGGAACCTTTCAACTGATTTATTTGAACAGAGGCCCTAGATGCACTCTCTGAAAATGTCTTTTATTTCTTCTCATTTTGTAGGTGCTAGTGAATTCTCAGGACTGTGGGAAGCAACTCCTGGAAGTAGTGGATTTGCTGCAGAATCACAACTTGGTTGACTCACAGATCTCTTCCTATGATGGCAGATTGACACACATCACCCAGAGGACAGCAGAAATCAGCAAGGACAGCACAGTTAGATCAGAACTGCTTTATGCAAAAGTTCAGATGCTTCATCAGCTGTACCAGAACCTCACAGCTCAGAGCAAGTCACGGTAGGCCTGTGCTTGTGGCTCTTTTCTTCCTGATTAGGATGTCCAACCCTAACTCTTTAATCAGAATTTTGCATTTGAAAAATTTTCATTTGAAAATTTTCATTTCTCCATTCCTAAAGACATAACAAAAGAACTCAAGTGTCTTGATTGCAATTGACTGAAAGGATCATTCACTTCCCTAGATGAAGAATAGCTTCATTCTCAGCATTTATTGTAACTTCCTTTATGAGAAGTCTGAAGAGCAAATGGTTATTGCCTCATCTGGAAAAAGAACAAAATGTAATTTTTTTCTTTTGTCTTATTCCATGAATAAATTAATATATGACAAAGAGGAGCTAAAAGTTTTCAAGTTCTGGATTTTTAAATTTTTCTTTAATTAATCTACCATTGTCTTCATGGAATCCTAATTTTGACTGTCACACACTGTTTATTTCCTTGGTTCAGCAAATCTCAGTTGGAAGAGGCTTTGAAGCTTTTTGAATTCTTCCGTGACTGCAAAGAGGAAGAATCATGGATCTCTGAGAAGTGGAAGCTGGCAAGAATGACAACACTGGGGAAAGATGTCAGCCAGATCACAGCCTCTATTCAGAAGAACAAGGTATCTTACTTTGCTGCTGGTTCCTTGTCTTTGTATTAAAGCAAGATTTCACAAGTCAGTATCGTCCAGTTCAGTCAGTGCAGCACTTAGAAGAATGCTGTCAGACTAATCCTTATTTCAAGTGTCATGCCAAGACTTCAGAATTTTAAAAAAATGTATAGAGTCCGCATTTTCTCCCAAAGAGGGGAAGGGTAAAGAAGGAATGTGCTTCATACTGGACTAGAAGACACTGATGGCAGATTAGCCATATTAGCTAATATTTGATGGGAAAAAAAATGTTGCTAGTTTATGTTTTTTCTCACCTTCTTTTCCTGGCTAAGAGAGATGAGGGTAAAGACAGAGGTGGTGAAAAGTAAAGGCTTGGGGCTCTTGGAAAAGTAATGCATGACAGTAGCAGAGAGCAGGAGCCACTCTTCTCTCCTGGGTGGTGGGGAATGAGCTGTGCTGATACGTTTCCTGTCTTTGTGCTAGGCTCTTGAAGCAGAGTGCAATTCACACAGGGCCATAAGTGCAGATGTGATGAGGAGGGGCTGGGAGCTCAGCCAAAAGAACCCCATGCGCCAGGACGACATTCTGAGACAGACAGACAACCTCCAGAAGCTGTGGCAGCAGCTCCAAGACGAGGTGGCTGATCGCAAGAGCCGCCTGCAGGCAGCAGCCCTCATCAAACAGGTGAGAGGGTTCTTCTGCTGGGGTCTGTGATATGTGGAACGTGGATGTGGCTCAGTTCTGCGTGGGGACAGGAAAGATGTCATCTGTTGGTGTTCAGAAAGATCTCGGGCAGTGAAGTCTCAATCCTCCTGCAAGCCAGACACACAGGAGATTTGAGCAGCTGGGAGATGCTCTGAAGGTAAAAATGCTAATAGAAATAACTCACATGCTAGTGTGAATGATGAGTCTTTTTAGAGGGTGGGTCAGATAGCTGTGTGATATATTTTTAAAAATGAAAAAATAAATTCCAAAGACTATCAACAAAAGAAACGTGTTGTGAGACTTAGATTGACCATGAATATTCACAAATATTGCAAAGTGTTTGACACTTCCATTCTGACCTACGATTTTACTCCCACAAACATTCACACATCTGCAAATAAAGAATTTGTATAAATGCAATATTCTGAAGTCGTATCACATATCTCAGGTATTCTTAGTCTCCCTTTCTTAAGGTTTTGCTCAGTCTGTTGTTTCCATGAAATGTTTGAATAAAACTGAACAGTTTTTTTCTTAAGTCTAAATTCACTCTTCTCTCTATTACGTTTGACACCATTATGGTGTTTTAGTTTTTTCTTTGTTCCTCATTACATTAGGTATTATTTTTTTTCTGTTGTACCTTTATTCTATGTCTAAAAACCTTGGTTTACCCTTCTACAACCATAACCAGGCAATTGCAAATTCTGGATTTAGCTAGTTAGGAGTTTTTAAACAGCTACATAGGCAACTTTGAATCTCTTTACTCACTGTAATTCTGTGAATTAGCTGTGGGCATGAAATACATCAGTAAGGTCATTGAAGGTCTAGAGTTACCTTCACAACACCTGGAAGTAACCTAATGGAATTTCTCCTTATCCATAATTTTACAAAGAGGAAGGAGCTGGATATGATACTTCCAGGATGAATCCAAGTGTTTTCCTCCCTGTGTTCCTTCAGTACTTCGCTGACATCGATGAAGCAAATTCGTGGCTGCGAGAGAGGCAGCCGCTTCTCGCCAGCGAGGACTATGGCAAGGACGAATCAAGTGCCGAAGCGCTGTTGCATCGTCACTTGCGCCTGGAGGAGGAGATTGCAGCCTATTCCTCTGAGATGAGGCGCCTCAAAGAGCAGGCTGACATTGCAGCACAGCAGGCTCCAGCTGCAGTAAGTAGAGGAGGCGCTGTGTCATGTTGTGTTGAAGAATGCAAGTGAAGTGCTTTTTCAATTATTTGGTTTTTATTTATTTTGCCAAAATGGTATATTGCAAATTAAGTTTTTAATTAGAATGGGGGCAATTTTTCGGGTGATAAAAAGTTCCTTTTCTGCTCGTAGAACACCCGGTTAGTATTTTTTGAAGTGCTAGAAATACTCTCATCCATGATGGTTCCCTCTACTGGTCCTCACAAATACATTCTCACTCTTTATTCTCTTAAAATTATTAATTTCAATAATCATTAAAAAGAAGATATTTAATCAAAACATGCTTAAAAATTCTTCTAAGGTAGTGAAGAACTATCCCACAATACCAGGAGCAACTCATACTCTCCCTTATTTTTAAGGCAAATGAGATGAAGTCAACCTCTGCAGATGCCCCTCTTTTTCACTGACTAGAAAGGGAACTTTTGACCTGAGATCAGCTTGTTTAATAACAGAATTCAAGGGAGATAAATTGATGAACGACACATTTCATAGCTTGCTTCTTCAGACGTCTATATTCACTCAATATTTAGCCCAATAAATTTGAGAGCAATGGGCATCGCTTGTGGTCTTTCCTTTACCTCATCAATGTTAATTTTTGTTAGAAAAATATTTTATTACTTTACTATGAAATGTGAAAAAGCACATGGCAAGATGGTGTTGATGGACAAATAGAAGGATTGATTCACTAGGGTCCTCACAGACTTTGAAACTGGAAGTGTTCATGCACTAAAACATCACCAGAAAGAGAACCATGAGCATAGTCAATTGTCTTGTTTTGTTGGCACGTCTGAAAATAAACAAGCTCCTCCAACCAAATAACTTTGGTTTGGGCAGAAAATGAGAACTTTTACTGAATCAATAAAGTTTAAAATGAGCTGAATGAAACTTATTCTTTAAACAAGTCCAAAAGGTTATTCAGGTTTTTTTAATTAATTTTTTAAGAATAAAACAGTGGAAACAGTTCCCAAAAACTACTGGAAGTTTTTGGTTTAAAGGGTCAGAATGCTGTGAATTGAACTAGAAAGTCCAAATTTTCCTTCCTAGTGAAATTTTTAACCAAATCACAAATTTTCATCCATTGATTTTGTTAATTTTTTCTTAACAGATGACGAAGAGGGAAGCCCCAAGTGACTTAAACCAAAAGACAACTAGGCTACTATTCAGCAGAACCCGGGCAACATCTGAAAGTGCATCCACTGGAACCTCAAGTCTGGATGATCATTTTCTTCCAGAGAATATCTGGAAGACACAAGAAGAAATAGATTCACTTTATGAACATCTACAGAGCATGGCTGAGGTATAATATCCCCTTCTGCTGTGCAGTTCATGAAAAAGTCCAAACCAGTGAAAACTGAAATTAAGTGCTTTGCTGGCTTCTGCTTTTCAGTTTAATAATGTGCCTCAATCCTGTTAATTCCTGTAGGACTTCGAGCCTTGAGATTATCATTGAAGTTTTGTATCAAAACAGAATTTATGCTGGCAAATTTCCCATTTACATTCCAGTATTTTTAGTCCATGAAAAGTAGATTCTTTTGCATAATCCTTTTTTATTCCCCCTTAGTGCTCATTTGTTGGAGCTCCTAAATCACTAGGGTGTCTTGCCAGACACCAGAAAAAATAAACTGTAACCTGCATTTTGCTAATATGCTGCTCTTCACTCACACCTGCTCTAATCATGCCCTAAAGACCCACACAAACTTATTGTGTGTGGCTTTTACATATAGTAGGGACCACTGTCTAATGTCATCAGCAAGCAGCAGCAAGTATCACAGCAGCCTTCCTTACTGTCCAGAGGCTGAGCACTCTCCAAATGATTCTCTTATGCTTTTTACTGTTGCTCTGGGAAGAAGTGTTGTGATCTCAAAATTTCATGGTCAGTTCTCTTTCAGCAGTGTTTGGGAAAGCTACTAAGCTACCACCTGTGTATTGTAGCTTAAATTGAAGAATGTTTTTCTGTTGCTTCAAATGGTAAGGAGTTATTACAACAATAGTTAAGTCTTCATCTCTTTTACAGAACAGAAAAAAGGCTCTGGAGGAGATGATTGGATATTATCGCTTCTGTAGCTCTTGTGAAGAATTTCAGTCATGGATGAGAGATAAAGAGAACATTTTCCGCACTCTTCAACCTCAAGCAGACAATGTGGAGGTCATGCAGCAGAAATATCAGGTACCCCTTTTTCCTCTTCACAGATGACACCTTTTAAATCAATTTTATCTTAAGAGAAATGATAAAGTTGAGAAATGATGTTTTGAGAGCCTTTTCATTAATTTCAACTTAGAGATTCATGCATAGACCAGATATTTCTTATGTACAGACTATGCCAAAGTTACTGAAGCTGATGAGACTCAGTCCCTTTATCTTCCTGTGAAGACAGGTATCCTGTATAAATATCATGGTACAAAAAGATTCATTCTGTGGTTTGTCTTACATCACCTTAAAAAAGTACGAAAGTATGAAAAAATCCATCTGAGCATTTGCATCCCAGTGGAGTGGGACATACGTGCACAGATGTAGTGTGCACACCAGGGAGGTCAGGGGGCTGCAGGGGAGTTGTGTGTACAGGTGTGCATGGAGTCAGCAGGCAGGCAAGGGGAGAAGCCAGCTGTGAAAGTGGGATATGAGTGAATATAAGGGATTATCAAGACTGTGTCCACAGGAATGGAAAAACCTCATGTTCTTCATTCTTGTATTTTTCCATTTTAGAGATTTTTGACAGAACTGGCTGCAGGCAAAGGCCAGCTGGAAGACATTGAAAATTTAGCTGCTAAATATGGAAAGATCAGTCCCAGCAAATATTTTGAGATCCAGACTTGGATGGAAGAGATCAACATCAGGTAAAGTGCTACTGATAAGCAGAGGACTGTCTGGAGAGCTGACCGTTCATATGCCTTCTAGACGACAGTGCCACCAGTGGTTAAGGGGCATCCCTCAGCTGGTTGTAGGCTGGCCCTGAGCCTAGTGCCCTGTCTCCAGGACTGAGGGGGGCTCCTAGGACCCTGAAACCAAATCACTTAAACTGTAGAAATTTATGTGTGTGTGTTAAAAGACAATGTGAATACATCCATGGGTGACATTGTTGTATTCAGAGTAGTTCTGCAGCACTGCAGCTGATTTAGTTACTTAAGCATCTGGGTAAGGACACACTTCACAAACATTGAAAGAAACATCAAACCACATTTGACTTCACCAAGAGTATTTAGTACCTGCTGTGAATGTACTCCTGCTTCCATGTCACTCAGTGGGTGAAGTCAGGTCCTGATTTTGATGATGGTTGTTTAATTGCATCATGTTCAGAGTGTTCTAGTCACCTGAGCAAGTCCCCTTGCTTGAGATGGCACTGATATGAACTCTGATGTTGTGAAGGAGTGCTAGTTTTCACCCCCACCCATTTAAGTCCTGATGAAATCTTTGTACAAGACATTTCCTGAACAGAAAACAGATATATTTCACGTATAACAATGGCTATAAATTGTTATCTCACTTCAAGATGGCAATCCATGGAAACACTGAAGGAGGAGAAAGGCTCTGAGCTGATTGGAGTGGCTGACGTGAGGACATTTCTTCAGGACTGCCAGAGCATAGGAGTGCTGCTGCAAGACAAGATGGTCCAACTCAGGGATCTGGAACCAGGGAACTTGCCTGCTGGACTGGAGTCAGACAAGCGCAAACTGCACGCAATTGAGAGAGAGGTCCTGGTGACAGAGCGGAAAATTGAATACTTGAGGAGTGTTGCAAAATCGTAAGGAACCTTCTTTTTGTTTTCACTTTCTTTGCTAGTTCTCTAAGATCATGCTGTAAGTTATGGCTATAAAGAGAAAGAGCAGCTCTTAAAGTTTCTCTTTCTAGAAATCTGAAGAACTGCTGGACTGTGCTGATCTCTCTTGAATGTGGCTGGGTGCTTGGGGAGGTGTTTGTTTCCAGACTTCACGGTTGTAGAAGGATGAATAGCACAGGATTGTTTGTGGCTATGAAAATATTCTCTACTAATATTAGTTACCTACTTCAAAATGTGGAGGGATCACTTAGGTCCTGAAAGAGGGTAATCAGGGGAAGCAAGGGTGACGATAGGAAAATACCAGATAATTGTGCAGAGGAGTTAAAATTTGAAATATTAAAGTTTTTCACTTCTTTAAGTTTTCTGTACATTCACAATGGGAATGTGTTGCCTTAGCTGACTTCCTTTTTAATGGAACTCTAAATATCTAAATCCATTCCTTTTAAAGAGCACTGGTTCTAGCTCTAAGTGTTCATACAATTGAATGCATTTTATTGAAGGATCAAGGACACCAACCCTGCAGAGAGCAGGGCCATCACTGAGCAGGTAGAAAACATGGAGAGACTTCTGGCAAAGCTCAAGCTGGAGATCCAAAAGAAGCAGGACATTCTGCAGTGGGCCCAAAACCAACAGTCCTTCCTGCAAGACAGCCGTAGGCTCCTACTGTGGGCAGAGGGCATTCGGGAGAAACTGAGCAGTGAAGAAGTGGGTCTGGACGTGGGATCTGCAGAGCAATTGCTGAAGGAACATCAAGACCTGCTGATAGAAATTGGCTCTCAGAATGAAAGGTAGAGAGACTCTGGCAGGGTGGGCAGAGTGGGGTGATATGACAACAGTACTGTGAAAATGAAACATGTAAATCACGTACATAAATTGCGTGTGAAGGTGATGCCAATATTTTATTCACATGCACTTGAACATTAGTGACAAAAGGAGACTGAAAACCCTAAAAATCTGGTCAGCTTTTGCATACTGATCCTGAAGGCTGTTGGAGGGGAAGGAGGAGCTGTATTTTTGCAGTAGTAGAGCTCCACAAGCTCTCCTGACACTCTCAGAGAGTGTCATCTGTGCTTTATTCCAGTTCCCTCATTCCTTCTTAGGCCTTATGCTTCCATTTGCCATCATTGTCAGTTCTTCTTCTGCGCTGTTATGAATTTCCAGTTTTCCAGAATTTTCCTCCTTTCCCTTTAACCTGAAGGCCTCCATATGTGGGCTTTCAGTCCAGATGGGGAAATCTCACCTACTGCCTCTAGCTTGTGTCCCTGAGCAATAAAACAGCCGCACTTTGTACTGCATAACCCGCAGGAAAAAGGTGACAGGGAGAGAGGGAAACCTGGTGTATGGGCACTGCCAAGAGAGCAAAGAGCTGTGATGAAAGAGAATTCATATTCCCTCATGCAGTGAGGTCTCATTTTTCTTTTTGACTCTGGGAAGATTTCTGCAGCTGGAAGAGCTTGGGCACAAAGTCGTCCACCAACAACCAAGTAACAATAGGAGCAGAGATGTCCACCAGACCATGGAGAGACTTGCCAAGGAGAAAAAAGAGCTGGAGGAAATGTGGGAAAAGCGATGGAAAAAGCTGCAGGATGGCCTGGAATTGCAGAAGTTCAACAGGGAGGGAGACCGTATCAATGCAGCCCTCTCTGGCCATGAGGCCTTTCTCCGGGGGGATGACCTCGGGGTATGTACAGCAGCTGATCTTGTCTTCCCTGCTTCTTCTTCCCATCCAGAGGGTAGCAACAATCTTCTTTATTAGATTGGCTTCTTCATTCTTCTGATCATGGCATTTCCATGCTTGGAAACTAGACTTTCAGGATCTTGTTAACATTCTTAGGTTCTTGTGCATCTTAATGAGAACAAAGCTTATTGTCCCTCAAAAAAAAAATTAAAACAACTAGGGTTGTAATTTGTTGCTGTTTGTACATGTCATATGGTTTCTATAAAATTACTCATGCATTAACAAATAAGGTTTCAGCTTAAACATAGTAATTTTTTTTTCCAAGTAAAAAATATAACTATTTTTTTTAAAAAAGGGGGTTTTTTTGCATTAATTTAATAATATTAAAGCATATGAAGCAAAAAAACAAAGGCAGATAATAGTCACAAAATCAGTGAAAAGGAGGTTGTGGTCTCAGAACCCAAAACATTGATACTTTAGAATCAACTGAGTGGAATAAAGTTTTACAAGTTAGTCTTTTGTATTGCACACCCCTAGATGGGCTAGAGTGCTGGCAAAAATTTAGAATGCAGATTTTTTTAAAAGGTGAAAATGGAGCCATAATGGAAACATAGAACAAAGAAACTAGGTATGATACAAACCTGCTGCATGTTTGTAACCCTGAACATCCTTGGGCTCATGCAAAATGTACATTGTACCTCCAGCCTGAAAGAGAAGGAGGAAAGTAAGGTCTGAATTTATTTTTTTTTTTCACTGCTACAGAAACAATATGAGCAAGAAAAGTCTTGATTAAATTTTCTTTTTCAAATGCAGGACCATGCAGATGCTGTTCGAAGCCTGCTGAAGCAACATCAGGAATTTGAACAACTGCTGATGGCACTGAAGAGACGAGTGGAAGCACTCAATGAGAACGGGGTGACCCTAATAGAGAGCAGGCACTTTGCATCTCATCTGTGAGCCCAAACCCATTCCTCTTTTTTTAGCTTTAATGAATGATCCAGTGTGATCAGGTGAAATGAAAAATTTTCTCTGAGGAGAAATTAGTTGACCTCCAATCCACAAATCGATGAATAAGGGCGCCAAAAAGAATTATTTTCTTTTCCTGTGCTCTTAGGACAAATGAGCTTTAGGGTAAAAGTGTCATTTAGCAGAACAGCGGAAAAATTTGGTTTGTATCATAAATTACATATAGTGATAAAACTTCCATAAAGTGAAGTAGTTAAATGCCTACAGAAAAAGAATTCCTTAATTTATCAGTATCACATATTGGAAATATGGTTTGCTTTTAAGAAGTTACTGAAGACCTCATTAGCAAAACGCTTCAGGAGCAGCTCCTTTGTGTTTTTATCCAAGCTGAACTGTTACCTGTAATTCCTTTTTCTGTGCTAGAGCCACTAGGATTTAGTAAGGTGACCCCTTTTCAAACAAGAGTTAGAAACAGAGGGTTAGAATGGACTTCTTGGGTCAGAAGACCGTGTTCTTGTGATTGTAAGCGATAATGTCTTGAACACTCCCTCCACAAGTTTATAAAACTTCCCTTAAGATAGGATTTCTTTACAGCACTACTGCCATTAGAAAGCTATTCCAAAGCCTTATTGCACTTACACCAAAGAGGAAGTTATTAGTTAATTGTAACTAATATAACAACACTGTGAAATATTCGGGGCAGAGGGACGTCTCAGTGTTCCAGTGTATGACTGCAATTCACTAAGGTGACACAGCCATACAAGAGGAAAATCCAGAGCAGCTGGCAGGCAATACCTGCTCTCCAGGTGGGCCCAGCATGGTGATGGGACAGGGCCATTTATCCCTTCTTCCTGTCAGCAAAGTTGTAGAAACTAGATTACATTTGTACCACAGTCATGACTGCAGCATAAGCAGGGAGAACCAATTAGTTAGTACCAATTAGTACAGCATTGGATTTCCTGTTTTTCTTGGTAGTGTTGAAGAGAGAATGGTCACTCTCCGGAGAAGGTGGGAGCAGCTGATACAAAGCAATGCCAAAAGAAAACAGAAGTTGTTGGATTCTCTACAACTACAGGTAACTGATGCTGCAGATTTGGTCAGGCATCTGTGAATTTTTAATTTTACCCCTTGTCTTAATATGAGATGAAAACTCAAACTGCTGAGCATTTGTACTGGAGCTCACTTTCTCTTTGCCTGTGGGACAGAGCTTCATTCCCCAGGGACCAGATGATGCACTGGCGATAAAACTTACAAAGCTATAACCATAGAATTTTTTTTTTAGAAAAAGGAGATTCTGAATGAAAAATACCAACAGAATGCTTTGTCTACTGGTTAAGTTTATTCTGCTCATTACTTACTATTTTTCTGAGCCTTAACAACTTAGTACACTTAATCTAAGTTTTGGCTCCAAACTTAGTTTTCTATGCTGAGATAAAAAGTTATACTGGAGGATTGGCCCTCTTGTGGTTAAAATATTCTGTCAATGATGCAAATCTTCACTGACAATTACAGGCAACAGATCAGTAAATGTGGCAGAATAGGGACCAAGAGATATTATGATGGCTTAAAACCTCATCTGTAGTTCAAGATCATACTTCTTCATTAGTTAAATCAATTTAATCCTGTTTGTTTTCTGTAAGGAGTTTAATCGTGATGCTGCTGAGCTTTTGATGTGGATGGAAGAGAAGTACAAGATTGCATCAGATGAATCCTATCGTGATCCAACAAATGTTCTACGCAAGCTGAAGTGGCATGAGGCTGCTGAAAAGGAAATGTTGGCTAATGAGGAGCACTTCACAACACTGATAAAGGTGAAGGCAGCTTTGGAGCTAAGTTTTCCATCTTGTACCAAAATTCATAGATGCTGATCTGCTAATAAAGTAATGCACTGTGTTTCTCCAGAAAGGAAATCAATTGATTCAAGACAACCACTATGCAGCAGTTTCTGTCCAGGAGAAGATGTCAGAGCTTCAAAAGAAGTGGAAGGAATTGTATGGCAAGATGATAGAGCGAGGTGACAAACTGAGACAAGCTGGACAGCAGGAACAGCTCATGGAACTGCTGCAGGTCAGGAAGCCATGAGGAACAGAGGGGAGGAATGGCCTGGGAGCCTGGTTCCTCTATTGTGCTGACACCACATAAAAGAGAATACTGTCCAGATAGAAGTGGTTTTTAAAGTCTCCATTTTGTCTACAGTCCCAGGAAAGAAAGCCCAATATTATGTTGTCCAAGTTCACGTCAAGCTTATGAGCAGGATAACAGTGCTAGCAAAGCATCAGGCTGTTGAACTCGGGCTCAACACTGCATCTGTGTGGCCATCCTGTACTGGGAAAGCAACCCAAACTCTGTAGGAGTCAATGCTGTCAACATAACTGCTTGCCTGGAGTCTGGGGGCCACAGGCATGCCACTCTATTAAGCACATGGTCATCCAGACAAATTTTATAACAAGAACAATATGCTGTGAAACTGCTTTGAGGCCATAATGAATGGAACTGCTGTTGCATTATAGCTACAATCTGGTCTTTGGAGATTGTCTGACTCTTTTATATTGTGTTGATGAAGATATTTCCAAGAGACTGTTTTCAATGATGTGCTTTAGTGTCTCAGAGAGAAGAGTACTCCAAAATAGTTCACAAAACAAAATATTCCCAAAAGATGTCTCCTAGAGATATCCAGACATCATATTACCAAGAAAGGACAATTGGATTTAAAAACTGGGTCCAGGAAGCTGTCATAGGAGGGGGTGAGTGAAAGATAATGTTGTTGAAAGGATGGTATGAGTGTGCTGTAATCTTTTCCTGGCAGGATGCCAAAAAGAAGATAGAAAAAATTGAGAGAGTTCTTCAGGAATCTGAGACAGGCCATGATTTGCGCTCCAGCCGTGATCTACTCAAGCAGCACAGACAGCTGGAGAATGACACGCGTGAGCTGGCAGAGAAAATGAATGCTATTGTATCTCATGCAAGGAAAATGGCCACCAATCACTTTGACTCCCAGAGGATTCTGGATGAAACACAGAAGTATCTGAAAAGGTACTGTGTCCCTCTGGTTTTTGTCTCCACCCACCTCTTGTGGCAAATAGCATTTTTTAGTCTACGTTCTTAAAAATTCTCTTGGTTGATTAAATTTAACCCATACTCAGGAATGATTTATCCTCCCAGCTGGAGAACAACTATGCTTTGATCTGCACCTATGTAGCTTCCTGTTGACCCACCTCAACCTTTATGACTGAACATTTACTCCTTGCCAGCTGCACTCCTCCTCTAGTCCCTTTCTTATCTACAGGTCATCCATTGCTTTGTACGAGGTACAGTGATTCAACATTCAGTACATCACAGGACAAGCCTAGGACTTTAAAAGTGTAAATAATTTTTTCTCTGCTTACATTTAGTGTTGTCATACAGGTCTGCTTGCCAGGGGATCCTTGTATGTGCAGCCAGTACTAAAGATCCAAATTTAATTGCAAAGAAGTGTCCAGTGTTTTGAAATCTTCACAACGGTGTCATAGCCTAATTCCCTTGGCAGAATGAGGATAAAGCTTTGTTTTAACATAATTTAATGGATGACCCCTAGGTTTGAGTCTTTGCAAGCACCTCTTTATGAGAGGCGTAAGTTGCTGGAGGCTGCCGTGGATCTTTATGAGTTCTACCATTATCATGACATGGAAATGAACTGGATCAATGAGCGCTTGCCTATCGCCCACTCCACCAACTGCGGGAAGTCCTTGGATGTGGCTCAAAACCTGCTGCAAAAGCACAAGGTAACCCCTTCAGTCAAGTGCTTCATAGCATGGTGACACACTGAACTCCACCTCAGCCTACAAACCTGCACCCAACCCCTGCACAGTCAAGGCTTCCAATGAATGCATTCACTGATTCCAGCTCTGGTCCAGCTAAAATGGGTCAGTGGATTGACACAAATCAGCAGAGTGGTGATGACTTTCAGAACAAATACAAACAAATTTCAGAACAAATTCCTATGAGAACTGCAAAATTTGTCATATTATGGAGTATTATTAATCTGAGAAATCGCATATCTCTTCCCATTAAAAGAGGATAAAAAACTAGTGTATTTGACACTAAATAGAAAAAAAAAGTAAACTAAATAAAACTATTGCTGTTTTATGCTTATGGTTTCATTATACATTCAGTCTTGAGGTTTGTGCACACTGGATTTTCTAGGAGCGCATATAACAGGCATTTAACAATTATCTTAAATCTCTACAGATTTTAAAATGGTCTGAAAAAGCTATAGTCACTGTATTTATAAGGACAGGTTAGTACTGCTTTCTGGGGAGTTTGATTCTTTGCATCAGGTCCTCACAGCCAGAGGGGCATCTCAGCAGGACTGCACCACCAGCAATGCTGCATTTTGCAGCACCTCAATTGTAAATTTCATGAGAACTGTTTTAAGACTGGTGGGGAGGATTTATGGAGCAGTAGTCCAATAGCTTTCATGGTACTGATGACAATGTCTCTCTTTGTATCGTCCTCCAGCCCCTTCATCATTTTGGATATTTTATTTTTCCATAACCAGCTCAACATTTTTTCTGATTCCCCCAGCTTTGTGTCTCATCCTATAATCTACTCCACCTCCCAAGCCTCCCTGGCTGCTGGACAGGGGAAGGGGAAGGAGCATGGTAGAGAAAGGACTTTGGTGAAGGGAAGTTAAGGGATGTGTGCTGCTTCCTTACACACCCTTCTCTCCTCTCTCGATGGCAGTACCGAGAGCAGAGCATTATGTGTGTGGGGATGGTACCAGTGGCCAAAGCTGCAGTTGTGGTAGAAATAAGACAGTCCTGATGTCCACTTGCTGTACTCTGCCCACTGTCACCGGCTGCCACTTCTGCTTAGGACTAGGATCACACAGAATTTACTTGTCCTCACGTATCTTCCTTTATTCCTACTTTTTCTTTTTCCTCATTCCCAGGAGCTGCAGGCTGAAGTGAATGCCCACAAACAGCAAGTCCAGCGGGTCCTGGATAAAGGAAAGACAATGATTGTAGGCCAGCACCCATCAGCTCAGAAAATAAGTGAGAAATGCCAGGAGCTTGTGACTGCCTGGCAGGGCTTGGAGAAGTCCTGTGAGGAAAGGATGAAGCAGCTGCAGCACTCAGTTGGCTTCCAGGAGGTACAAATGAAAGCAAAGAGCTCACACAGTAGTTTCTTCAGACAAACAGGAGGACCAAAGTGAATTAAAAAACCAGCTTTGCTGGGACTGGTATTCCCTTCAGCTGCTTGAAGCCAGACTCATGGGAATGGAGGGCTGGATTCCATAGTTGATTGCAGCCCCCACTCTTGACCTGCGGCTCTACAGGTTTCCTTGGGTTCTATACCCATGCGTATGGCTGTGCACAGAACACACATTTCTCCTAGCTGTAGCTCCTTTCCCTGTGTCTTTACACAGTCTCAGGCTTCAATTTATTAATGAAATTGATCCTGAACTGGAGAATTACGACATGGAAATCAGGAAAGAGGGGATTTCTTGTGCTATCCCTTACCTGTTTCATGCAACAATTGTCCAGGCAATAAAATGGTACTGAGGAACAGATAACATTCCTTCACTCTAAGAGCAAGTTAGGGATTTTGGCTTTATTCTTTTCTAGAGGCTTCTGGACCTTCATGCTTAGCCTGTTTTAAAAAAATAATAAAATTAAAAATTGTATGCAAATATTTGTATCGATAATCCAAATTTTCTGTGATCAGTGGGTCATGTAGGAGTGCAGTTATTCAGACAGCACATGCAGTTTTGTAGACATAAGCAATATTTACATGGAGTGCACAGGCCCAGCTAAAGTGAGTTCCCTGGGGTATTCAATCATCCGACCTTTATTTCCTCTATATATGAAAACACTTATGAGTACTGTAGACTTTATGAAGCCTGATTCTTATAGTGATTTGAACTTCTCAGGCAGAGGAAGGAGAAATGTCCCACTGATATTATACATTTACTTTTCCTGCATTGAAGTCTTCCATCTGTGACCCCTTCATTATTTTATGATTTCACAGAGAACAGTGAATTAAATATTTAATAAAACATTACAGTAGGCCTTACAGTGCATCATCTATTTAGAATTTATTAGTTAAAAAAAAAAAGAAGTCATGAATGTTTTGAAAGTTGAAGCTCATTTGTTTTCTCTTTAACTCATAGTTTTTAATGAATACTTCAGACCTGGAGGCTTGGATAGCAGAAAAATATCCACTTGTGACAAGCAAGGATTATGGCAAAGACGAAGATGGAACACTGAAACTCATCAAGAAACATAAGGTATTTCTCAGCTTAAATTCTGTATGCTAGCCTGACCTTTTGGTCTCTCTGCAGTCATAAAATTGTTTGTCTCATTGGTAGTTTGGTGCCCAGCCATCTGCAAGATATTTTGCATTGATATATGTCCACATATGGATAGACTGAGAGAAAAGATCAATGTGGTTTACTTGGTTGGTAAAATGTAGCTTGGGAGAAAAGGAGGATGGTGAATACTGTCATATTCTTCTGAGGCCAAAACTGACTATCTGCTTTTCAGTTTCAACAGCTGCATGCAGAAGCCTTGTCATTTTTTCCTATAATCAAAGATACATATAATTAATCCAGGAATACTTTTCTCTATCTAATATTCCATCTGATTGTCTTTATTCATCTAATTTATCTGAATTTCTGTACAATTTTTCTTTTTTTTTTTTTTAATGTTAGAAAATAATGCTAGAAAATAATCTAAAATTGATCAAGTCTTGGAAATGTCACACCCTTCCCAAAAATATTTATTTTTCAATCACTATACCCTAGGCTGTTCACAAAGAGTGTCTATCTCAGATAACTGACTCTCAACTCACTGTTTTTCTTTGTCAGGCACTGGAGCATGAGATTGCCATTTACCAAGATTTGTTGAAAGAACTGAGTGAAAGTGCCCAAGCTCTTCCTCTTGTGGGCTCCATCCAGTATACTGAGATTGATGCACCAAAGGAACAAGTTCATTCCAGACTCCAGGAGTTAGAGAAGCTAGCAGCTGCAAGGTATAAACCAGAACTCCCCCTTGGATCCTAGATTAGATTCAAAGCCCACTGAAATCCATAAAAGTCCAGCTACTTCACCAGAATTTATATTTATTATATTATAAATTAGTTATTAATTATAATGTTGTTGATGTTATTAATTTTATTTTGCTTTTATAACTTTATAATTACATTATATTATCTCTTTTCAATTATATTTAGGAAATTGCTTGTTTCTATATTATAATTCTGTGTATTTATGGGATTTTCATTTTACTAAATAAGACATCTACAATTTATTCAAGGAGTTTTGCTAAATCTTAAGGATTTGATACCTACAAATTTCCTCCTTACCTTTAATCATCCTCATGTAAAGTGACTTGAGGTGCCAGATTCTGGCTTGTGTTTGTGATATTTAGAATCTGCTATCAATAGGAAAAAATATTTTTAGAATGTTCCCTTAATGATACTTGAAAATTACTTGATTTTTTACATATTGTAGGGGAGATAATAATGGATACACTTATTCATATGCCTTAGTTTCACTTTCTTTCAGTTATTATTACAGCAAGATATTTAACAGAGGACAGTTGGCTTGTACAAAGGGTTTTAACACTTCTGGTTTGTTTCCAGAAAGGAAAAAATGTCTGAACTTAGATTTTTCCCCCACAAAAATGTCACTCATAAAAGGAAGAGGGCTCTGCAGGCAGACTAAAAAAACATAAATTTCTAGAATATAAATATAAAAAATATTAATATATAATATAAAAAAAATATAAGCCTTTCTAGAAATATCAAAATACTTCTGTGTGTTGAACACAGAAATGTTTTGCTTTCATTCCTCTAAATGTTAACCTGGGTCTTGTGGTACATTATTGGTGGTCTGGTTTGCACCTCTGATCTGCATTCTCCTTGGGCTGGACTCTTAACAAGTTGCATCTCCTGTGATGAACATTCGTGACTCAGATTTGGAAGCCAGATTCTTCTTTCCTGGAATATTTACACAATGTCAGGCTAGCAGATGGAAAATTGTGGGTTTTCTTTAGTTTTCTTTTTTCCTTGCTGTGGAAGCCCTGTAATGTGTCTGGCTGAATTATAGAATAATCTAGACCATTGGAAATACGTAACAGGTTGGAGCAATTCTGCCAAACAGGCAATATGAGAATTACATCCAAAGGCTTTCATAGCATCTGCTTTCCTGATGCTCAGGAAATGTTTCCTTCTCATTTTCACAAGCAATTCAATTATCTTTAGAAAGACAGATCAGGACAGATCTGGAAAAAAATAAAGGGTATTCTTTCTCGTGGAAATAAAAAAACCCATCAAAAGCAGTAACAACAAATCCCAACCAAAATCAAAAACAGAGCAGAGAAGGAGCTCAGACAGGCACAGCGCTCTTCTGGGAAATTCAGCTAATGAGATGAGCATGACCTGGCTGACAGCTGTCATCCTTCAATCATAATTTCCAAATCTGAGGAATCTCTTTTGTTACAGAGAATGAGTCTTGATGCTGAGAGGTTTGGGGGAGTCATTGGAAGAAAGTTACTGATTGCCCTTCTCTTATATTATTAATTATATTGTCTTCTCTCCTTCCCCCAATAGAGGGAAGAAGCTTGATGAAACTCTTGTCTTACATGAGTTTCTTCGAGAATATGAAGATCTGGAAGACTGGATCACTCAGCAGAAGCAAACAGCCAGCTCTGAAGACTATGGAAATGATTATGAACATGTTTTGGTGAGTTTTTTGAGTAACATAAAAAAATCAAATTAACTGTATGTAGTGAGACTGTAAACAGGTACTAAGGCTGTCCTTGAAAACTTAAAAGACAGAGTAGCCATTCAGAATCTTCATTTTTATGATTTATTTCCAAATAGCTTGTGTCTTAAAATCAGACTACATTATCCATTTACAGTACTGAATGCACATTTGCATTCATTAAGTAAAAAACACATAATTTTATAACTGAAATTCATTGTACATAGAATATTTGTTTCTATCCCCAGTAATAATGTTTCTGCCTCCCATCTGCATCAGAAACCTCATGTTTTGCTAAGAGTTTGAAGCTCCTCATAGTCTTTGAATGTAGAATCCAGTCATTCTCTGCAATCCTCCATCTCTAAGTATTATCAGCTTATTATCTGGTTTTTGGCTGTGTTCTGATAGATGAGCAGGTATGTTTGGAAAAAGAGGGCACTCAAAAGGGGTTTTCTCATTATCCTTGTTTTCCCTTCTAAAGCAACTTTATGCCAAATATGACACATTCCGACACCAGTTGGAAGCAGCTGGGAAAAGAGTTGTGGCTTTCCAGCAGCTGGCAGACAACTTGCTGAACCAAGGGTATTCTGAGTCCTGGGAAATTCGGCAGATGCAGAAACAGCTAAGGTAGGAGCCTTGTGTTAGGTCTAAAATGTTTTGTCCTTTCTATTTGCTCTCGAGGAGGAGGAACTAACAAGAAACTAGGAAAGGATAAGGTATGACCTCCTGATTCTCTAATTGCAAACTGAGTGGTTTGACACTGATACAGAGCTGCTTCCAGCCTCATTTAAAAATTAACATCATCTACGTGCTGTTTTGAGTTCTTGTAAATTTACAAAGGTGAACTTCCTTTCCCCTTTGGAATGGGATCACCAGCTGAAAGGCTCGGAGTTTCGATGCTTTTAATTGCTTCTTATTTTTGAGTTTGAATCCCGCAAATGTTCTGCAGAATAACATTGAGATGCTCTGAGCTTCTTAGTTCTGGCATCAGCCCAAACTGGCTGGAAGGAGAAGTGTGTCTGCAGGCAGTTGTGGTCACCACAATATAAGAAAGATATTAAGCTATTAGAGAGCATCAGAAGGAGGGCCACGAGGATGATGAAGGGCCTTGAGGGGAAGCCGTATGAGCAGCAGCTGAGGTCACTTGGTCTGTTCAGCCTGGAGAAGAGGAAACTGATGGGAGACCTCACTGCAGTCTGCAACTTCCTTGTGAGGTGAATAGGAGGGGTCTCTGCTGTGTGATAACCAGTGACAAGACCCAAGGGAATGGCCTGAACTTGTGTCAGGGGAAGTTTAGATTGGATATTAGGAAAATGTTTTTCACCCAGAGGTGGCTGGGCACTGGAACAGGCTCCCCAGGGAAGTGGTCACATCACCCTGACAGAGTTCAGGAAGTGTTTGGATAAGGCTTTCAGATGCATGGTGTGATTCTTAGGGTCTTCTGTGCAGGGCCAGGAGCTGGACTTCAGTGATTCCTGTGGGTCTTTCCAACTCAGGATATTCTATGATTTTATGCTCCAAGTACTGCACATAAAACCTGATAAGCGCAATTGAGGGGGGAACTCTTAAATAGGACTATTTATCTAAGTTCCTGGAGCAGACAGGAGGACAGAGTAGGGTGAGAGACATGCTGCCATTCAGAGAATCACCCCAACAGAATTTAAAGGCAGGAACTAAAAACTAAGCAAGAATAGGTTTTGTTTTCAGTCTTCCTTCAGACTGTTGGTCTCCTTTATTCCTAGTTTAGATGTTTTACATGGTTCTTTTACCCATTCTACCTTGAAGGAACTCTTGGGAGGAACTGTTGGAAATGACCAGATTACGAGGTGAGCGACTGAGAGCTGCTGAGGAAATTCACAAGTGTTACCAAGATCTGACAGATGCTCTGGCCCATATTGAGGTAAAAATTAATATGAAAATCTCATATAATGCAAACTTTATTTCAGCTTCTTGTATGGAATATTCTTATGACTCTCAACATTCTTACTGCTGACATCAAAAAAATTCTCAGTTAGAAGCCAGTGTGATTACTCACAGCATTAAAAAAAAAATTCCTGGATAGTCCTTAGACACTTGACTGGTTACTTTATGAGAACCATTGGTGAAACCAGGTGGAGCTGGAGTTGCTGATCTGTGGGAAAAGATGAGAAAACCACGGCTGGCTTTAATTAAGGTGCCTCACCGTGCAATGCATACGGCGATGTTTGCAGTCATCAGGCCCAAGAAACTACTGCCTTACCGTGGTGGTTCTTTGTACACTGTTGCAGTTTTATGTGTGCTGAAGAACTCTCCTGTGAAAAGGACATTTGTTTGGATTACATTAGCCTGGAAGGCTGTCAGGCAAGCATGTGACCTGATGTGAAAAGCTGAGCCAAAAATCTTCTCCTCTCATTCCAGTGCCCAGTAGTGGCAATAATTTCAAGCAGTCCCAGCAAGAAAACTAGGGGGAGAAGTCCTCCAAAAAGTCTTCAGGATCTGGTTCACCTGAAAATCCTGAAGAATTTCACTGAGAAACCACATCCTTGCTGTAAAGAGAGGTGTGGTTTCCCTAATGCAAATTTTTACAGGAGGCAGAGATCCAAGAGGTTTTGCAAGGCAACAGGGCTTTGTTTGGTTACATGCGGTGAATTTTCTACTTGTTTGTGCTGGCAGAGGCTGCCCTATTCAACTATGTTATTCCTGTTTTCATCCACTGCCACAAAGAGAAAATCAAACATAATATTTCACCATTTATCAGCTGGGATTTTCAAAACCTGGTGCTTATTTAACTTCAATGATGAAGCAGTTAATGCTGAGAGAGTGACAAGTCAGAAACACTTCAAACACCATCTGTTGGTTTAGCCCCATGCTGAGTTTTGTCTAGGCAACCACTGCACCCTCTTTGCATTGCATCTTGTTAATAGCTTCACACCATGGAAGGAGAGCAGTCATCTTGTTCATCCTTTCCTGTGTACCCTAATCAGAAGCCTGTCAGGGGAAGCCTGTTCTCATAGGAAAATAGTACTGAAGGCCTTGCTTAAGTCACTATGCAGAAATGCAGTTCTTCAACAGTAAGAAATATTCTGCTAATTTTCCCTAAATTGACCTGGAACAAATTTCTAATAATTTTAGTGACAGTGCTATTGTCCTGCTGAAATGCATTTTCTTTTTGCATGCATTTCCAATGCATGTCTGGGTAACAACTAAATTCCTTCAGGGCCTTTGCTGAATTAAAAAAGTTTACATTTTTTTAACATTACCATGTAATGGTCCCTCCATTTCTCTTATCTTTACAGTTATCTTTTTTGTGCATCTATAACCAAAATTTTATCTAAAGATGGTTCACAGGAAGACCACCTGTATCTCAAAGAATTGACTGAAAGTGTTGCTTGTTAATTCTGCTTTAAGAATTCACTGTCACTGCAGTAGGTATTCAAGACTGATTCCCAGCACAAAGCCTGTAAGATATTTTCTTTTTGTCTGATTGTCTGATTGTCTTATTGTCTGATCAAGGAAAGACACAAACCTTCATTTCTAACAGTTCATTTGAATAGTTTAGCCATTAGGATATTTAGAAGTGAGTTACTAGGAGAGATTTTTCTGGCTTCCTTTTAACTATCATAGTTGAGTAACTCAGAATGTCCTCAAGTGTGCAGTATGAGTTACAGTACTCAATATTATTTAATGTAGGCTTTTAGTGAGTTTTGCTTGGAAGTGGGAAAAAGCCAAAGCTTTCTCTGATTCTTCCTTCTAGGAGAAGTCCAAAAGTATTCCAGATGATGTTGCTAAGGACATGAGAGGTGTGCAGACCCAGCTCCGGAACCACGTGGCTTTGGAGCATGAGCTCTCTGGGAATGAGCAGCAGGTAATGACAGCCATTTGTGGACTTCAACGTGTAGTCAAAGTTCAAGTTTCCAAAATAAGCATAATAATAATTTGGTATTGTGAACCAAATTATTGCCATCTCTCACAGAAAGCCTGGAAATTTCTAGGGACTTTCCTTAGTTTTCTGGGGTTTTTTATATATTCAGGGTCTGGTGGCAGTGATAATAAAAATAGATAATAACTACTTTTCAAATAAGGCACATACTGTAATAACTACTGACTGTTGAAGTGATTCACAGGGATGTTTTTGATCGTGGTTTGAAATGTAGTATTTTTCCAGGCTTTTTGATATTCTTATTGTCTTCCTCAAAGTGTTCCAAATGACTACAAGATAAAATCCAGAATGAGATTTATGTGCAGAGAAAATTAATATTGGTACAAATTGAACCATGAGGAAAAAGGATGGTGTTCACAATACAAATATTAAAAAATTGTAGTTCATGAGAACAGCTACCTTGTATACCTTGTATATTTGTCTTCAACAAACCAATAAAACTAGTATGAGTTTTCACTCCTTTGTTTAATACATGTAATAGTATACAATAATATGTACAGTGTAAAGCAGCATGAATTATACTGAGATTACTGAGATTATCCCAGTATTACTTATCAGTGGCCTCAAGTATTTTGACCTAGGGGCAGTAACATTAGAGTTGATCCTATCACCTTGTCATTATTTTTAAGGGTAAAAAAGCATGAGACATGCATGAAGAGAATGTAATCACAGTTAAGCTATATGGTCAATGAAGAAAGAAGGGAATGGTTGGCTGTTACTTGCATTATAATAGCAATTATGATACTACTTTCATTATCATATTATAAATGATGTAGTAAAAAGGGAAAACAAAACTGCCTCTGAAAAATCGCTGTTGTGATGAGCCCTGGCAAACACTGGATGTCACTATTACGCCATAGAACAGACATTATAGAAGTTTTTGTTTAATATGAAAAAAGTTAAGCCAGAAAACCTTGTTTGAATTGTGTTTTCATGTACAGAAAAGATAGCCTTTATCAGAACTTTTCTAATATTAGCAGGATCTCCATGATGCTCTCCTTCTTACCCTCTTCTTTCACCCTCTGTGTACAGCTGCAGGAGCTGATCCACTCTGCAGATGACGTGCTGCCCCACTGCTCCAAGAAGCAGGTGGAAGACCTGAAGGCAAAGCAGCAGGCAATAGTGACCAACTGGAAGGGCCTGAAGTCCAAAGTGGGACAGCGCAGGAGACTCCTGGAACAAGCCTACAAGCTTTATGAGTTTCAGGCACATGTAAGCACTTCTGCCCCTTGTCCCTCACTACTCGGGGGAAGGTTGCCTGCAGTGGGTGAGAACCACAGGTGCACTTCCAAACTGGAAAAGGTTGCAAGTGCTCTCTGTGTTATCAATCAAGCATTTAGTGGTCATTGATATTTAGAAAGGTGTTAGAGGATAAGGATCTTTTTAATTGGATAAGGTTTTTTATCTTCTGTAAGAATAGAAGCTTCCATCCAGAGGTGTAAGGAATCATTGTCAGCTGTCAGAAGTGGTCACTGCTTTGTGGGAGAAGCAATAATCTTTTCAAAGACTTTGCAATTTTCACTGAGTAAGAGTGACAGAAAAATATTACTTAACTTACTCTCCCATTTATAATGCATAAAAGTTTGTTATCTCTCTCTCAGGGCATGCAATAACCCTTGGTTAACTTACCTCACGGACTATATCAAATGTCACTCACTGATTTTTGCACTAACCTCTCAAGCTGCTCAAACTGTGACATGGATATATCAGCATAACATCATAAGCAAGCATGCACCGTAGCTTTGTCTCCAAAGAGCTCAGCAGCTCACTGAGCTGTGATTTGCCATGGAGTACTTTGCAAATGTCAGTAGTCTCAATGAAAACACTTGAGCTACAAATGCCTTCACTTGACCACTGCAGATCAGTAGATTATTGCTGCAAGCACGGCAGGTGCTAAACCAGTAAGAGTATCCCATTATATCATGAAGTGAGTTGCTAATGTAGTTTTTCAGGAATACATTTACATTCTTTTATTCTTGAACTGTTCCAAGTGTAACTGTTGTGTCAATTCAAGATACCCCTGTTAGTTCACATTTTTCTTCTATTTTTAGTGGGAAGCAGAGAGGGTCCAGAGTATCCACTTGGAGAAAACTTGCTGCAAGTTTGTCTTAGGGTTGTGATCTGGAATCAAGACCAAAACAGAGTGTACATGTTTGGGGGTTTTTTTAGCATGAGAGCCATCTGTACATTCAATTAATCCAATTGTCTCTTGTAAGTGTTTAAATCAGCATTACCTGTCATATTTTATTAAAATAAGGTATTATATAGTTAGAGATAAAGGATGTTCATGGCAGTTGGGGTTTTTGAGGGTTTTCTTGGGGTTTTTTTTAACTATTACAAGTTCTATTATCATGTTCAGAACTGTTGATGGGGAAAATGAGTGTGATTCTACTGATGTAGGTGAGAAGTTCATTTATCCACTGTCTTTCTAACAGTATCTAGGACTGATGGGAAGAACAAGGCAAACTTTTAGAAAGCATTCTTTAGAATGCAATCTATTCTTCTATATATTAGATTCTTGAAGTCTTCAGCCTGGAGGCATCTTCATCAGGAGGTGAATCTTGGTGGATTTGACCATTAAAATGTAGTCACTCAGAGTTCACTTCTTTATTGATCTACTTCATAGCTTACATCATAAATTTAGATTTTGACTTCAGATAGAAAATGTTAAGTTGCCCCCATCCTGTGGGAGTGCTATTATAATTTTTATTGCTGGAATGATGTAAAACACCTTTGGTTTGAATTTTGTCTGAAATGTGTGATGCATCCTGTGATCTGAATGACAGATCTATAGCTCATTTCTTGCTCTGCCAATGTGTCCTTTGATCTTCATGACCCTTAACATCATAAAACAAAATGACAAAGCCATGTGACCATACTCTCAGTGACATGTCTAGACAGGACTATGCCTCAGGCAACTCTCTGTCTCTTTGATGTCAGGCTAATGGCAAAAAGTATTCCCAGTCCTCTCAATTTTCACCTCCTTTCCTGACAATAATTCCTGGAGAAGTGAAGAGCTGGTTCTGCAATTTGGTAAGCCTGTCTTCCTGCCCAGATGGGACAAGGCAGGATCATGCAGCCATGGCTAATAACTAAGAATTTCAGAAACTCTAGAGTAGGTTAGAGCAGCTTTGCTGCAGAATATCACTCAAACTGCCGAATGCAAAGAGGCAACTTTGCTACCTTTCCTCTTTCAGCTATGCCAAGGGGTGCACAAACTTGATGTTATTCACAGCTGTTCACAGTACTTTTTTATTATATTGTTTATATGTGGTCCACAGGACTTTTTGATTAAAAAAATATGCACAGATTAAGTGAAACAAAATAACCAATTTCCATAAAATGAGAATTCTGCACAATCATCTAGTGTATCTCCTTACACCCCATCAAGTACAATTTCAATGTGATTAAATAGCAGAACTGGGCCTGACTAAGAACACACAGCAGAGCAGAGGGCTTCAGATCCTCCATGGAACTTTGTCAAGGAAGGTGAGTGTAGACACATGCTGAATGTATCTCTGAATGATCTGAGGCTCTTATTCTGAAGTTTATGCTGGGATCTCCATGATCAGAGTTGGGCTCTGCTTAGGAGGTTCCTGCAGAGTGATGTCTACTCTATCCTTAAATATTGCTGGCAGTCCAGTCACCTCTTATTGGCTCTTGACTTGTTCCATTGCATTCTATATCCTGAGGCTTATAGATTTTTTCCTAATGATTTGCTCAAAATCTCAGGGAGTTTTAGACATTTGCAGTGCCAAGTGCAATGTCAGTGTCTACAGTGACATCCAGCTGTGTGAATGAATTAGTTCTACAAATGGAAATTATGCCAACACGTGTGCACTACCACAGGCCCCTTTAAAAGGACCACAGTCTTTTTAAAGAGTCATTTAGTAGTTGTGTTCACTTGGCTTTTAAAAAGCAGTGTCTTGGCTTTAAATCTTTAAGTTAGGACCCCAAATTTGCCAGTTTTAATTTTGTGGTGCTTTTCTGAACTTTTTTCCTGGCTGTCTTTACAAAGATTTTGATGATACTATGGGTAAAATGGACAAGCCAAGAATCTATTTCCATTACATAGTTTCCTTCAGTGAAAAAGCCAGCAACCATTTAAAAGAGACCATTTTTACTTTCCTTCAATAAAAGAGGAGGTTTCTTCAGCACTTACTATAAACAGTAGTATTTTAAAGTACATCTTATAAACCTGAAAGACCATTTACTATCTAAAAATTGAATCAACTAATCCAGACATATTTAAACTATAACAAAATTTAATCATCATATATAATCCCTTGTATATCCCTCACAGTCCTAGTTTTTACCAACTGGCACATAAGAGCAAAACTCCTACTGCAGATTCAAATAAGAATAAGAATCCTAAAGTAAGTGACTGTTGAAAGTATAGAATCAAACGGAGAAAAAGACATACAGAGAACATTAAATTGGTTTTTCTTGCACAGTTTTCTTCAATCACAGTTAAAAAATAATCCTCAGGGATTTGTTTTAGCATTTTCATGCTCATAATTCCTTCAGACATTTTGTTATTGCATATATATTTACTGGTTCATCAGATTTTGAAAATGAACTAGCATGACATATTTGTTCCTCCCAAACTCAGTCCTGTAGTTCCACAAACCAAGAGCTGAATCTGTATACCTGATACGCTTATGCAATTTCTTATGACCTGTGATTAAACCTTTTCCCACTTCTATTAGAGTGCATTTGTTTTTCACCTGAAAATTCTCACTCTCATTTTAGAATATGTGCATAACCTAATTTTTAAGTAGACTTGTATTATCCAAAGCTTTCACAGAAATGTAGGACAATACTGCTTTATCCTTTAGGAAGGAATAACATTAGAAAATACTTTAAGAAAGATGGATTAAAGGGCAATAAATGATATCATGTTGTCACTGATGTGATACAACAGTTTGATTATGAATATGACACTACAAACCATGTAACACAGTATATAGTAATTCCTGCAGTTGTGTTATCCACCCTTATAAAATCCATAGAAGTACTGCAAGCACTAATGAAATACTTTATTTATCTATGATTTTATTACCCATTTTTCACCTAAAGTTAAAGAGTCAGACCAAGATTTTCCTGCCTGCTAACCTAAGCTTGAGCCCTAACCTCAATTTTCATGTTTTCTTGGGTTCCAGGTGTGGGACTATTTCTTATGGACAGCAGAAATAATAAGGGAAATGAGAGCCAAGGAGTCTATTCGGGACATTTCTACTAGCAGCCTGAGACTCACCCAGCATCAACAGCTACTGGCAGAGATCGAAGCACGAGAAGAGAAGTATGGTCATGTTGTACAGCTAGGACAGTCCCTCTTGCAAGATGCGGAAATGCCATCAAAAGAGGTAATTGAAACTCCTCTGAGTTCAGTCATACATATTTAGCACTGGACCCCAATGTGGCTATGATTCTATATTGAATCACACTGTGAGATACAAAAACGTGTACACTCACTTGTCCATGCCCATGACCTACATCTGCCTCAGTATGTTACCTATCTTGGGCACAAAAAAATCTGTTCCATTCCTAACCTCAGCAGCAGATGTGTGGAGGCATCTCCTGAAGGTCCCCTGCAGCAAAACTGGACTTTTCCATGAAGCTCACCATGTTCTGAGCCATGGAGTCAATTATTGATTTTCACACAAATGCTAAGCTTTGTATTACGGTGGTATATGCACACCAGAACAGTCTGGACAAAAACCTGTCAACCAAAGAATGAAAACACTCAAACATATGAGAGAGTTTAAAGGCAGATTGAAGCATTTTCTGTAGCAAAGAATTGCACAAGTAAAATATCCTCCTTGGAAATGAAGGAATTAAATCAAAATGTCAGTTTACTCAAGACAAATGGCTTCTAAGATTCTCACAGAATTTATTTATTTTCCAGTACCTACCAGCTCATTTCTCCCCCAACAATTCATTAACATGTCTCTTGAATACCTGCAGAAAAATGCAGAGTTTGTGCAAGTTACTGTCCCATCTCACCAAGCTATTTCCTGGAAATTTGCTGAATATTGCACAGTATGACTATGGTAACTAGAAGTCTTGCTGACTGTAAAGTCCTTTTGCCTGTAGAAAAGGGTAGGAAAAACCTTTCAGAGAAAACCTGTGGATATACAATGTTTTAAAGCTGAAGTTATGTTAAGTCTAACCTTGTGGCATGGATTTACTGACTAGAAGAATATGCTATGTTGATAATTTATATTTCAGTATCTGTCACATGAAAATTTGAAGTGCTATGATAAGCCACACTTGAGAAACAGTAATCTTTTTTTGCTTTTGGTTTGGACTGTTGTATATGCTGTAAGAAGCACTCCTCTGTTGCAGAAGTGAGGTACCTCTGATTATCTCTCTGCCCATACAGTACAAAAAACTTGTTCTACTTTTCTTTCTGTTTAATAATTTTGTTGCAATTTAAAGGCGTTATCCGCCACTCCACTTAATCCTTTCTCCTCTCAATTTAGCCAGATGATGGGATGTAAAGACCAATGCAAGTTTTTAATTGGAAATTTTGTTCAGATTCAGCAGAAGCTACAGGCTTTGTTGGAAGAAAAGAAAAATGTATACAATGCATGGAGACAGAAGAAGGAGTGGCTGGAGAAAATACACCAAGAACAAATGTTCTACAAGGATTGGGATCACCTTGACATGCTCCTGAACTCACAGGAGGTGAGCAAACTATAAACTTGGAATAAGCAGTTAAAACTCTTCAAGCATGTAAACCCTTTCAATCTAAAAAAGGCACTACTGTTCGCCAACAGCTTGAAATCCTTGTGCCTGTGTACAGACAAGACAGCCTCTTTTATTGGTACTGTTTGTGTTGTGGTATCACTTGGAAACTGCAATGTGCAAGAAGCTCTCCTTTCTCATGGGGCTTAGGTGTGGAACAGAAATAAAAAGATGATCCTTACCTGAAAGATGATTCACTGCAAATATACTTAGGAGGGGACATGTGAGCATCATGACAAAAGAGGGAGACAAGAGTCTGATATTAGTCCACTTTACAAACAGATCTCAGTATGCCAGCTGCTTAGGCACTGACAAATTTTGTAGGATTCAAAGAGAAAGGAAATTGTAAAGAGTGTTTGAAGGGAGTTTGCTTTGCAGGTGTTGCTGGAATTCTCACCTCAGGCTGAGAGTTATGCTGGGAAAATGTAACTAGTGGATGTCAGCAGTGTGAGTTAATACAGAAAAGTAAATTGACTTCTCAGTTCTGCAAGGGCATTGATAGGAGTGCGTAGAACAACAATGAAAGAATTTATAAAGAGTATTAACTTCTGTTTGATGTGATTGAGAAAAACAAGCTAGTGAAAAAAGCCCTCTCATGAAAAACGAGAGCATATATAATCAATGCAAAGAGTCAGAAGGATGATCTTATTATCAGCATTTTGCAGCTCTTGAAATAGATTTTTCTTCACCATTTTTGAGTTATATTTTGTCTTTCTTGCACTTTCTTTGATTCATGTAACTCTTAAAAAAGGTTCCAGTTCAAGGTCTGGCATTTGCTATTACAAAACAGAGTGCACTCACTCTACAAATTCATGAACTGATTGATTGCTGCAATTGTGCTGGGATTAGGCATGCAAACCACATCCATGGCTACCAAACTGAAGGATTGACACAACACTGGAGGATGTTGCACCTCTGGGTCCTTTTTCATTAAGGAAAAATAATTCTCCAAGACCACTGACAGCAAAATATAATGGCTCTCATTTTGCCCTGAGCTCTGTTTTCCACCAGCGCTTTGCCACTGGCACTAAATCCTTTTGGAAACTGATTCTGAGCTGTGACATGCAGTGATACTTAACCCTTTGTGGCACATAGGCCTGGAGCTTTCTGCTACTCCTTCCTTGAAGGAAATGTGTGTTTGCATAATTCCTTATAATCGGTTCTTTCAGTAAGCGTGACCTGCATTCTGGAGCTTGTGACATGAAGCAGAGAGTTTCATCTAGGTCGTGGTTTCTGGAGTAAAATATTACATAGTTCTGCCCACTATTTGTTCCTTATATAGCAAATGACATGATTTTCATTATATCTATCACAATTCCCTACCAAGCAGTGGTACGCCATTGTTAAGCTCCTGCACAGGAGCTTATCAGGGAAAATGTAAACTCTACAAAAGTTTGGCCACTGCATTTTTTCTCTTTTCATTAAATTGATGTCAGCCAACACACAGAGGCACTATCACTGCAGCATCTGCTTTGATGTATGTAATGCAGGGGTAAATGTGTAGGAAGCTATTTTGTGTAGATGATTTTTTCACCCCTCTGTTGTGAGACCTGGTTGCAAAAGTCTGTATTACTCATATATGAAAAGTTAACGCACTTGGCATTTCTGGTATGCCCCCAGCACTTTCTCTACAGGTAAATGGCACTTCATATTACTTCTCAGTTCAGATGAATTTGCCATTGCTATAGGCAATGTGACTTAGGCTGCCACAAAATTGGTGGGTGTTCATCAGAGGCTAGGTAAATTCTCCTGATGGGATCAGAAACCTCAAGTTTCTTCAGCCAAAACAAAGTCGGAGAAAAAAGGTTATGACCTGGAGGACCATGAAGTGCAGTTCTGCTTTCAGAATCTTTTTCCCATAGTATCCTCTCCATGAACTTCCAGGGAGTCTGGTGTCAGATTTTCCTCGCTGACACTAAGCATCCACCTAAGAAGGTGGAACAGTAAAGTGCGGCTACTCGGCTGTCTCTTCACACAGACCACACTTTATAGTCATGCTGGCTTTTGCAGCTGCCACCATCTGCCTTGAGGATCAGAATAAACAGTTTGACAGTGGACTGATGTTCCTTAGCCAATACTTTTGTTTCATGTTTCTGCAGCTGAAGAACTCTTGGAAGAGAAATATATTTGTCTTGGATTGAACTCTGTTACTACTACGTAGAGTTTAAATGTGGCTGCGTAGTGATACAGACAAGCAGGATGATAGGAAAGCAGTTTTTCAAACATGTTTTAAAAAAAAACTCAGCCAGGGTGTCAGCTGAAGATTCTCAAACCATTTTCCCAATGGGAATTTCATCATTTTCTGCTTTCAGAAAGGACAAAAGGAAACACACTTTTAAAAAAGATTCCTATCAGGCAAACAAATAGAAGCAATCTCTCCACCCTTTGTGTTTCTTCTGACCTCTGCGTTTGAGTCAAGGCTCGGTTACGTGCATTTCATTTTTTATATCTGTAAAATGTCTGTGTAAGGAAGCATGTAATAATTTTTCAATCCTATTTTGCCAGCACTTCATATGCCATAGACCAGAAGCAAGAAACAGGGGGAGAAGGCAACAGAGGAGTATTTTAAACTATAAACTACTACTGAGAATTGCTCATTCATTCACTGTCTGTGCTACTGTGACAGGTTTGACTTTAAGCCAGTATCTTATATTACATCCAAGTTATTTAAACCTTCAAAGGATTTCTGTAGAATATCATCTACCATTGTTCTGTGCTAAAGAAAATAGAGCACATGTGAAGAAAATTAGGCAAACATATATTTTATTTTTATTTTTTTATGAATGCAGTTGTGGAATGGAAATGGAACTTCTGTAGGAATCTCTTGTAAGAGCTGCAAACTGAGATCTCGTCATGCAGAGCCTAGACAATTAACAGCTGAAAAAGGGAAAGAAGGAAAAAGCTTATTTTTGCTTTGAGCAGAAACTGTGTCCAATACTGTCTGCTCTGTTCTGATCTTTTCACAGCAGCAGATCCATTGCTCAGGTTAGCTGCTTTGCTTTTTTTCACGGATGAAATAACAGCAAGTCTGCAGGCTGTCTCTGGCAGGCACTTTTGGCTCCCTCCTACTCTGTCTGCAGTCTCACTGTCAGAACACTCAGGGAGCAGAGCCGTATGCTCCCTAATTTATCTTCCAGCCCATCCCACACTCATATCGCTTTGCAGACATGACAAGAGGTGGTAGCAGTTTTAGAAGAGCTGAGATTTTTTATTTTGAATGTGGATTTTTTTTGTTCATATTTTTCTTCCTGGAGAATGTTTATTCGTCTCTCATTCCTTTGCTTCAGAGGAAGAATGGAAATTTCCAGTGCCAAAAGGAAAAGGATTAGGACTTGGTTTTAAGCACAGGGGAAAAAGCAAGCTTCTGTGTCTTTGAATTTTGCATCATTTAGGACTAAGCTTCAGAATGTCATACAGGGACCATCGCTGCAAACCTTCCTCTGCAACCTACGTCTCCACTGTGGAAGTGCTGCTCTCTTCCTGTAGAACGACCCCACCTCCTCCTTTTGAATCTTCTGTGCAGGTCAGGCCTTTTCAAAAGATGCCAGTGCCAGCTTGGCATCCTCCTACTGGTCAATCAGTGGCCAAACTTGCTCCAGGAAATGCCATCTCACCATCCAGCAGTGTGTCTTACTGTTCAAGGCTACATGTCATCCTGGCACACACAGACCAGAGGAGAGATTTTGGGAGCACTAATCACTGTGTCAGTCCTTCTGATGAGACATCCACATGTTCCAGTGCTTGCAAGGATCCCTGGGGACATGGATATGAGAGGTCTGGCACTCAGTCAATATCTGCATCTTACAAGCAATATTCAGAAAGAGAAAAAAGTGTTCATCGTATTTCCCCTGGAAAAAGCGATCCCTTGAAGCTTGCTCTATCCTTGCCTTCAGATGTTCTTTCCTGCAAAGCTCCATCAAGCTGGACATCACGCCTAAACGTTGATCTGTCTGCTATTCCAGCTGCTTCTGTGATCCACAGCAAAAATCTGCATGCATCTCTGGAACCTTGTGATTCACTGCCAGCCCAACAAGGCTGTAGCCAGTGCAATGTCCAAATGTCAGACCTCCACACTTCAATGAAGCTTTACATTTCGACGTGCAGCTTGATGATAAAGCCTTTTCGAGCAGGTTCCCATGGAAGCAGTCATGCTCATTCAAGTCTGCTCATGCCACAATTAGAGAAGGTGCCTGAAACTCCCTCTGGTCTTCCAACACGATCCCAGAAACCAAAGCAAGGTTTCCCTTCAGGTGGGTCACCAGCCCTTCAAATCACAAGATTTCATGTGACTTCCTCCAAGCATTCTGGCCTTCCCCAGCAGACTTTATCCAGAGATGTATGGCTGTCCCCAGCTGTGCTGACTGGAAGAGAAAATTCAGCTAGTGGGAATGAGATCATGAACGAGGATTTAAGTCCAGAGTTGATTGTCTTTCAGAATTACCCTTCATCTAGGCCAGAGTTTAGGAAGACTCCATGTGATGGTCTAACACCTGCTCACCACAAGGTTTCCAAAATCACCCTGGTATTTGCCACTCCTTGGACTGCTATGCCTATCCAGGTGGTAAGAGAATTTAGAAGAAGCCCAAATCCAAAAATCTTTATCAGAACACTTGATTCAGATAGACCTGGTCCACCCTTTCACCCTGTGGAGATTGGGGCTGGCCTCTCTCTATCAGTGAACCCTGTCTGCTGCTCAGGGTTGCTTTCTAGCCATTGGAAAAGATCTGCTTTGAGGCCTTCCCAGGAAACATGCAGTGTCAGAAGCGTATGCCCTGACAACCTTGTGACAAACATACCAGCTCACACCACAGCTTCAACTCACAGAGACACAGAACGTGACGGGTCTCCGTCTATCGCCGTCAACATTGCATCCTTTGGGTCTGGGAGGAGAGTGGTGAAGATTTGTATTCCATTCTAGGAACAAACAGAAGATCCAAGTT